AAGGGCGCCGTTAGGCGACTTGCTTTTGTGAAGGGTGCGCCGGGAAACTTGCTGGTGTGCCAACTGACGTGAAGCAAAAAGCAGAGTACACTTTCCAGGTTATCAAGAGGCTTGGGCCGTGCCAGGTTTCATGAAACCAGGCTAGAAGGACTAGACTCGAACGTTCTTTACACTCGTGTGTGTGATTTGGAGAGCCTGAGGTTGCGTTTTTCGTTCCAAGTCGTGAGAGAGGGATTGATGCACTGAGCCATTTGACCAGGGTGCTTTGACAACAGGTTTAGGGTTTAGGGTTCCCCCGCCCATGCTCTTGTGGGACAGGTGGCCGCAGATGATGTCCCGCGATGCCCTCAGTTTGGCTGCAGCGATCTTTGCCTGCAGGATAGCCTGACAGTCGTCACGCAGCATCTGTTCCGACGTGCGTCTAATCATTTGGATTTTTTCGTTCCAAGTCGGCCTGCGCGAAGGCCTGCTCTTGTGGGATAGGTGGCCGCAGAACAAGTCTGCGACTCAGTTTGGCTGCAACAATCTTAGCCTGCCAGAAAGCCTGACAGACTGTCAGGAAAGTTGTATCGGCTCGGTTCATCAAGGAGTCGGGAGTTTCAGAGGCATGGGATCCATTTCATGGCCCTTACCTGTATGCCAGTGGTCATGCAGCTTCCATTCCTTTGCGGCTGGTGTGAATCTTCTTTTCATATTTAGGCTGCTAGTGATTGTGCAGCAGTATTGTGGCTCTGACAGAGCTCAAAACAAACTGCCTGACTGAAGCTCAACATGGCCTCGCCGGCAGACCTGAAGCATGCTTCCAGCTGTTCCGTTCAACGCTGTACTCGTTGCGCTTGGGTGCGTAATGCTGCAAGCTGGACTCGGGACTTCCAGATGGGTGACACGGGCGTCACTTGGATTGAAAGCATGGAGTCGAAAGGCGAATGGGCCTTGCAGTGTCGGGCATGTCGCAAGTTTGGCCAGAGGAATGCCTGGTCGACGGGTGTGCAGACAGCGCTCAAGGGGAACCTCCGTCGCCACCATAACTGCCCAGCGCACCGCGAGTCGCTTGTGGCCATGGGCCTTGCCACAGAGGCAGATGAACTGATGGGGGCGCCGTGCCAGCAGTCCTTCAAGGCCGTGCTGCAGGAGCGTGCCAAGGGCACAGCCTTGCGCCACGGAGTGCCAGCCGTGGGCGGCAAGCACAAAGTCACGGACATGCAGCTGTGCTTGGGACAGGCATTGGAGGAGCTTGACAAGGGGTTCCTGCGCAGCGCCGCAGCGGTTGCGGTCTTTCAAGATCTCCGCAAGAACTTTCTCTTGATGCGTTACCAGGCCTGTGACAGCAATCTGAACACGCGCTGCGGAGTGCTCACCTACATCAACGTGGGGGCGCTGTCAGGCGCGACCTCCGTGCTGCAGGCCACATCAGCAGCTCTGGATTACTTCTTCACGCAGCCTGGCTCGGACGAGGTGGACAAGCAAGCGTTGCAAGCGTTCACTGCCAAGGTGGAGCTGTACTGCGCCGATGCTAACAAGGCGGAGCAGCTTGTCGGGCGCGAGCTCAAGCCCACAGGCATTTTCAACAATCTAAAGTACGTCGTCAAGGACAGGAGTCATGCCACACAGAGGCTCCCCGCATGACAAGCGCATGTTAGTTTGTTAGGCTGCGTAGTTCTCAGGGACGCAGGGCCTGCTCGCGTAGTGTTTTTCCAATGCGCAATGACACGTGCCACGGCCCCCAGGCTCTTGAGCCGTCCATGGACCGCAGACGAGAAACTGCACTTGGTGCTGCAAAAAATCATTCTCTCCCAGGACAGCGTGGCCTCCAAAATTCAGCATTCCGAGCAGCTCCAGGAAGTCTTCAAAAAGATGAATGCCAAGAGTTTGAACAATCCTGTGCAATCCGACCGGGTTCGCAACCTCTGCTTCGCCAAACACCGGTTCTCCTCGTTCAGCCAGCCCTTGGGGCGCACCATACTATTCCTGGACGGCATCCTCTCCACTGCGTCCTGGCTGGTAGTGAACCGACGGCGCGAGCCCGAAGGCCTTGCAGCAGCTGAATTTCTTTCCCAGTTGACAGAGGNNTGGCTGCGATGTGCGCCGACGGCGCTGATGAAGCCGTCCGTCTCCTCCGAGTCTTCGACGGCGCTGCTTATGACCTGGCGGACACCTGCGTGGATCTCGAGGTGTTTATGCACCGTCTGCACTACTTGTACAACCAGGCGCGTATAGCAGTCTCAGTCGTTCGGATCTCCGTGTTGTGTGGGGTTTGTCATTCCTGCGCTTGGAAGCTGAAGCAGCACCCAACCCTGCACCGCAGGGGGCAATCTTCGAGGAGGCTGGGTACACCCGTCACTGCCTGAAGCTCCTGGAGACCACCAGAGGATGGATCATCGAAGGTGTGCCCTACAGCCTAGGCGGGCCTCACACATTGACAGACGCTCTCAAGGAGCGCTGCCAGAAACAGATGCAAGTCTGGGTGCACTTATGCGCAGAGATCGTCAAGGCAGAATTCCCAGGATATGACATCTTGAGCTCTTTCTGCATCTTCCGCATCGACGACGATCGCAAGAAGGAGGATAGCCATGCAGATGAGTACCAGGCCCGCTGCACCGAGCGGTTGGCTCAGGCTTTTGGCGTCAGCTACCAGGGGCTCTGGGATCAGGTCGCCGATTTGCGCCCGGTGGCCAGGCAGATGCAGACAATGCAAAAGTGCGGAAATTTCGAGGCATGGCGCGCGGCCGTTCGCAAGGTTCAGCAGAGTCGGGCTGCCTCCGCGCGTCCCGTGGATCATCTCATGCCGGTGCTTGTCCGATGGGGAGCCTTCCAATCCTGCACTACTTCCTTGCTGGAGCGCAACTTCAGCCTGATTCTGGACGCCACTGGAAAATCCCGCGGACACATGAGCTACGACAACTTGTTCTCGGAGATTAAGCTGTTGGTCGACCTCCGCCAGGAAGAGGAGGACCGTGTCGTCGATGTTGCTCGAGCCTGCTGGACGTTGCAGTTTGGCCAATCTCGTAATAGCACCCAGACCGTGCGGTTGGACAAGGGTGTGCCGCGCAAGCGGCCAGCGCCGGAGGCGTAGGGGGTATGTGGGGGGTGTCTAGTAAGCGGTTAGGGCCCGACGTTTTTGTGGTAGGGTACTTTTGGGTCTCACACTGTGTCAGGGCACCGAGACCGCCTTCATTGCAAAGAGGCGCGCTGGCGCAGGCCACGCAGGGCCGGTGGCCATGCAAGAAGTCCTCGACGCGGCGAAGGAGGCTACCCAGGCCATACTTGCTGGTGATCCGAAACTGCAGAAGGACGGGCAGTAGGTTCAATCTGGCGGGTTTTGCGTTGTAGTCGGCCTGGACGTGCGTGCATGCGCAACATCCGGAGGAGCACCGCTTCCAGAAAGAGAAGCAGGACATGAATCTGCTGCGGGCCGTGCAAGAGGGCCGGCTCGTGCCGGCAGAGCTCAGCGACGAGCTCCTGGAGAAGGTCGATGCTTTGACAAACAAGGAGCAGGCTGGTTTGAGGGCTCGTTTGCGCAAGGAAGCGCGGCTGGAGCAGAAAATGGAAAGCAAGACGCCGGCATGGCGACACCGGATGCTTTGGCTGCAGAATCCTGCATGGCTTCCCTTTGCGCCGAACCAGGCCAACGTGACGCGCACGCTCAACCTGGCAAGTTGCTTTGTCGTGGGGGATGTGGCCCGAGCAGGAGAAGAAGTCATGTGGACTGCTAGCTTGCAAGGCGGGCTACTTGTGGATTTGGTCTTCTTGAAGTCTGGCGGCGAGCAGGGCGTGGCGATGGAGTTTCAAGCCGCCAACAACGTGAAGCGTGCCATCCTCGTCTCTCACCAGTTCCGTGCGGTCGAGCCGCGTTTGGCCGAAATCGTGGACAAGGCCTGTTCTGCTGCATCTTCCAAGTGGGTTGCGGTGCCGGACTGGGAGACGTGGGCAGCTGTTTTCGAGAGACGGGCGGGACCCGGCGTCCGGAATAAGCAGCCAACGACCGTTTTGGCTTTGGCGCCGCCAGCTCTCTGCCAGTCCATGGAGTTGCAATCCGTCATGGACAAGGCCACATTCATTAGCTTCGTGACTCGAATTCACTGCGCGATGCGCGGTATGTGCAATGAAGATGTTTGAGAAGATAGCCTCAGGGGTCTCGAACCCCGCAGTGGCTGCGTGCAAGGGGCTCGTGCAAGAGGGAGTGCTCAGATCATAACTTAAGAATCAAGACCCACGCATGCCTGCAGTCAAGAATACCGTCCTGCAGAGCACATCTCTTGAGCATGAGACATGAATCTGAAAGTCTGTGCTGTGCCCGTGGCATGGGAAGCGCTCCCCATCAATTGACCAATAGAACCCAGCAATCCCGAAGAGTGCATCTCATGTGCGCGCAGTGTACCGACAGAATGCAATGCAAGTCGCACGCCATGTGCAAGCCGAAGAGAGTGGGGACAATGCGGGAGAAACAGAAGCGTGCTGCCTTGGGGCTTGCAGGACACGCGTGCATCAAAATCATCATTAGCACGATCATCAGAATCATCAACATTTGCTCCACCTGATGAGGTTTGCGATCTTCACTGGAACTGCGGTCCGGGGCCCATGCATCTCATGTTCCCTGCCGTGAGAGACAGAGGTGGTTTTTGGGGCTTAAGCATCCTAAATCCTAAACCCTTAAGTCGCCACTTAACCCTAAACCCTAAGCCCTGAATCCTAAACCCTAAACCCCAAACATCAACATTTGCTCCACCTGAGGTTTGTTTGTGTCCTCACTGGAACTCTCACTCACATGCATGGTGATCGTTATTGCATGTTATTGCTCAGTGCATGCGATTGCGCATGGAAATGCGCATGCGACATTTTCTTGCAGTCCTAAGGGCTTCCGCTGTTGCTTGCAGCAGATAGCGCCATCTCTTCAGACCATGCATCTCATGTTCCCTGCCGTGAGAGACAGAGGTGGTTTTTGGGGCTTAAGGATCCTAAATCCTAAGCCCTTAAATCGCCACTTGACCCTAAATCCTAAATCCTAAGCCCTTAAATCGCCACTTGACCCTAAATCCTACATCCTAAGCCCTTAAATCGCCACTTGACCCTAAATCCTAAATCCTAAGCCCTTAAATCGCCACTTGACCCTTAAATCCTAAATCCTAAACCCTAAACCGTTAAATCCCAAATCCTAAACCCTTAAACCCTTAAATCGGCACTTAACCTTTAAATCCTAAATCCTAAATCCTGAACCCTTAAATCCTAAACCGTTAGATCCCAAATCACTCAGAGGCCTGAAACGGCCCAAGCCACAGCTCCGAGATGCTCCTCTAGAGCCCTATATACTTGGCAGGCCGAAGCCATCCGCTCAGTGGGCAAAGCCTTTGGAAGGACGGTCGTGCGCAAACTGGTTGCTGCAGACACTCTTGCTCTGAGCTAAGCTTTAGTGCTGCGTTCATGATGGCTCTGCCTGGCGTGTCGGGCAACATGAACACAGCGTACATGGGGCGCGTGGCAGCGAACATGCAAAAGATCCTGGGCCACCCTGAGCTAGCAGACCTTGCCACAGCACGGCCTCTGACCATTGATCAAGGGTCTGGCAAGGCAGGATTTTGTGTGGAGAAGAGTGATTAATGCGCTGTTTCCAGGTCAAGGTGTAAAGCGGACCATGTGGTGAATATGATTTCTGTCAGTTATAAATGGTTCATTCCCACTTAAGCACCGGGTCGCTTAGGGTGATGGCCCCGCGCGGGGGGGGTCCAGGGACACCCTCCTTNNTATAGGTTTAAGGAGGGTGTCCGCAGACACCCTCCTTAAACTGCTGGCTTGGAAATCTCAATGTAGACGTTGGGAATGAGTTCTCAGCAACGACTGACTAAGCTAGAGCTCCCATCTAATAGTGACAAGAGTCCTGAGCTCAGCCAGAGTCTAGCATGACAAATTGAGCCAGGCACCTTTCGCGTACGATGCTTTCGACAAGAGTATGGCTGCGGTGTCTCGCTACCAATGCAGTGGCAGCCTGTGGTGGCTGAATTTCCAGTACAATGCCCAAGCCGGAGTCTTCATGAACCAGGGCAACGTGGACCTTCTGGCAGGCTCTACCTGGCGGGAGCCACACTCGTGGCCTTCGCGGCAGCCGGTGACTGTTGTGGTTCCCCAGGGCACCACGGCGCGGCAGTTGAGCTTCGGGCAGCTGGAGCGTGTCTCAGCAGAGGAGTTGGATCATGCCCTCTTGCAAGCTATTGCTCGAGACATCGATGCTGGCGAAGGCGACGAGGTTATACTGCGCTGAGCTTAGTTGACCTGGCTAGCCTTGCTTCGTGTTGAGCCGTTGTTGATAAATGCGGGTCTGGCGCCAGGAAGTGGCGGAAGGTGCTGCTGTCCGCAAGCTACGAGTTTGTTTACTGCGACAATGAAGAGGACAAGCGCTTCATGGCCATCAACATCCGCGAGAGCTACGTGACGTCGTATGCATCTTTCGTGAGGACGACATGGCAGCGCCTGCAGGAAGTGCTGGCGTATCGCAGCACCAAGGAATCCGCCACGAACAAGCTCACACATCAGCAGCTCCACGCCTTGTGGGAGGCCCGCTTCGAGAAGTCCCCTTCTAAATTGTCGGAATCCATCAGCCTGAAGTGGGTTGATACGGCTACGAAGATATGGGACAAGATCCTCCACCGTGAGGAAGTGCGCAACAAGATCAATGACGTTGAAGAGGTCTTCGGCAAGTGCTCTCCTCTGAACAACCTCTCGGCCTTGGACGCCTTGGTGGCCAAGACCCACGGCGAGGTGCCCACAATCCTTTGGGTGTTGGACAGCATGAAAGACGTCCTGCAGCAGGAACTGCTGAAATACACCGACCTGTCTGGCCGCAACCTCTCGGGCGCTGGCAAAACCAAGGGCTGGCTGGACGTGAGCACGATGAAGATGCAGATTTTGCGGCACTTGCTTGGCCTGCTCCCGCAGAAAGGTCTTAGTGCCGTCGAGACGCAGGTCATCACCGATTGCATCCAGTCCCACTCGCATTGGAGGGCCAAGTGCGGGGGCGGACGAGTTAAAGTAGATGTTACGTGGCAGAGCATGTACTCGGAGGGTCTCCGCAAAAGCTTGTCGTTCATCGGGCAGGTAATCTTTGGCGTGGAGTTTGACGACCACTTGAGGTCCGCGTTGCGCGCCACCCAAGATGTTGGCGAGCTTTTGGGCCAAAACCCCTTTTCGGACTTGCTCGAAGCCATCAGCCAGGCATTGGCCGGTCCAGTGCACACAAGCAGCGCCGAGGTGGTCGCACCAATCCTGTCGGCCACGGACTCCGACAAGCTTGGCGTCGAAGTGACCCTGGCAAGCCTCGACATCACGCCCGAGCAGGCCCAAGCCTCGGAAGAGGAGCTCCGGTCTTGGATCCAGACGTGCGAAGAGCACAAGGACGGCGTCCAGCGGTTTAGTGTTTGGGGTTTCCATATTTGTGTGGATTGAGCCCTGAAGGACAAGTTCTGCCGGTTCATCGTGGACGAGTCCACAGCCACGAGCCTTGGTGGGACTCTCGCAAGCACCGTCCTGGGCGCCAGTGCGGAAGAGGAAGCACGAAGTGCGAAGCCTGGTATCGTCGCTGTGTGGTTTGATTCCAAGACATGCGGCGAGGCATCCGCCCATCCACATGCGAGGTTGGTTCCCTTCAAGCACGCGGTCACAAGGCTACAAAAAATGATCCAAGCCTTCCTCCGCGCTCGTGGGCTGTCTGACGAGGAACGGTGCTACATATCAATCGAGTTGCCTGTTTTAGTTTTTGCTGCTTGATACCGGCCATTGGAAGTCTTGAACGTAAACTTTTGCCTAGCGGCAGGATGGTCCGGGGCGCGGGGAGTTGGTACTCGTCATGGATGGCGGCCGCTCCGTGGAGTCTACGATCAGCGCTGCCATCGTGACCAAGAACGGAACCAGCTGGCCGGCCAAGCGCCGCGCAGAGTTTCAGATTTTGTACGACGAGGATGCTCAGGCGACCCGCAAGCAGCGGAGTCGAGGCGTGCAGCACCTTGTGGAGAGGTTGCATGTCTTCTCGGAGGGCCCACTCAACATAGAGAAGAAGAAGCGCCTCAATTACGCTGGCTCTAACCTGTGCTCCTGGATCGGGCCTGTGGCTGTGCCAAGTTGGGAGGATCCCAAGTTGTGGCGGGTCGAAAGGTCAGCCAAGAACACGATGTTGGGCTCCGGCAAAGTGGCGGTTGGCGGGGCCATGCCGGCCGACATGCCGGAGCGGCCGCAGTTCGCGGACAGCCGCGAGCCAATGAACTGGCATCCCCTTGCGGAAGGCTTCTGTGCGGAGATCCTGCATTCTTTCAACATCCGGATGCTCGTGGACATGACGTGCATGGACGAGACGTGGGCCGTCACGTGCCTCCGCAAGAACGTCGGCTACGTCGGCGTGGTGTTCACCGATGGGCATCAAAAGGCCATCAGTTCCCAGGTTGTTCGCCGACTGTTCAAGGAGTACCAGGACGAGCAGTCCCCGCTCTACCAGGTCCAGCTTGCAGAACTCATGCAGTCCACGGGTCATGGTGAGACTGAGGACGCAAATGCAGACAAGAAGACCGTGAAGCCAAAGATGAAAGGCAAGAAGCGTGCTGCGGACCCTGCGGCAGTGACTGCGGGCACCACCATCGTAGACCCCAAGGCGAAGAGCAAGGCCAGCAAGCGCGCTGCTAGCGCCCAGGAGATTTTGAATCGTCTCACCGGCTTCACTCAGGGATCCGGCAGCGGCCAAGTTCGAGATATTTCGCCCGCCGAAGCCTGTGAGTCCTAGACGTCCGCTGCATTTTATGCCAGGCTGTGTGTCTCTCACGCAGCTACCAAGTTCGCATGTTTTTGTAGGCATGTGGCTGATTGCTTGGGGAAGGGCGTGCACAGTTCATGTAGGCAGATTCCAGGCAAACATTGCCCAAACACAGCCCTTCATGCTGGCCGTGATTGCGAACTCCCTTTCAAACATTTTCGCGCACGCGTGGTGTGATGCTGGCGCCCGAAAGAGTGCTTATGCTTGCTCCTGTCACCGTCACCACCCTTTCGGGGAGCATGCAGTTGCTGCAAGTGCCGTTGAACTCATCCTAGCCCGCTTTGAGATGTTCAGGTCAAGTGTTGGTTTCACTCGCAGGCCCCTCGCA